TGCCCCCGGGGAGCTGCAGTGAGTTCGGAGCGGCCGCGGGTAACGCAGCGCCGGGAGGGGCTGGACCCGACGCGCACCCAACTTGTTGACACAACAGCGGGGAGCGAAAGGAGCCCGCGGATTTTAGCCGAGGTGTTTCCGAGCTGCGTGTTAGCTTGTGTCGGTGTCGTAATTGAGGGGTCTTGGCAATGCTGCTAACATCTCCCTGTGCCTTTGTTGCAGAAGTGCTGCGGATCGGCCGGTCATGGAGGGAACTCGGCAGAGCAGGATCTGCCGCCCGCACAAGATAAGTGAATCCTCGAAGGTTCGTTCGTTTTTGTGTTGCCTTCCGAAAAAATCGAGTTACAGTAACAACAGGGAAGGGTGGGGATAGAGGGTCTCCTTTGGACGGGCTGTTTTGGAGGAATGTGAATATGCAGAGCTTTTAGAAAAGAGGTATGGAAACTGTAGTCTACCTGCTCCAATATTTTTCAAAGGAGAAGTTGCTGCCTAGTGATTTTAAAAAAAAGGCAGCAGCAAATGGGCATCTGCTCACCATGACTCATAACTTAGAAACCCACAGCAGTGCAGCACAGTAGTTTCTCTATACCAAAAATTCGGTCATTAAATGTGATGTGTTTGGTTTTCATCTTGTAAAATCCAAGCTAGAAGCAAAGCTGGGATTCCTTTTTAGATTTAGTCTTGATTTTGTACAAGCCTTGATCCTGCAAACAGGGGTTAGTCCACTGAAGTCATAGAATTCGTGACGGTTTCTTAGGTTTGTGAGGTTAATTTTCTTTGTATCAGATCTCTGGGTGTACAAATTTATTTTATTTGTGAATTCATGGAAATCCATCTTAGGCTCCTCTTGATCAGGTCATCAGGACAATGGCTCAAGGTTTATATGATGTTAATATCAGCTGTAATTATGATACTTTGTTTTATACCAGTGCAAGCTGCTTTTCTGTTGTAGTCTGAGCTCTGGGTTTCAGGAGCTGCAGAGCAAGTAGGAAAACAGCTGGAAAAGAGCAACTTTTCAGTTTCTCTTATCAGTCTGTCTTATCAAAGTTGAATGAGGCAGATCTCATTTTCTTTTGCATCACTGACGAGCTGTGGCACTGAATTAACAATCTGAAAGAGATTACATCTTTGAATCTGCAAGAAGTTAAAATGCTTCTGTAACACAACTGATAAAAGATAACTAGGGCTAATTTTAAAATGCATCCCCACCAATATAATCTTTCCTTGAGTGCTGATCCTGTCTGCCACTTAAATGATTTAGTCTGAATGTAATGATAATTCATCACATTAAAAATTAATTAACTTGACAGCATTGTTTTATTTTCTTGCTTAGGCAGCAGCTGTCACTATCTGTTCAACTTAGAATTACTAGATAATGCTAAAGCTGTTCTGCAGAGTATAAATAGCCTGAGAAAGATGTTCATGTATAAAATTAGTCTTGGTTTGGAGACGTGCAGCTCTCAGCTTGTGTCACTTCAGCTCCCTGAAGGGCTGAACTTGCTAAGTGGCTGAAATTTGTTAACGTATTCTGAGTCCACCCAGTGCTGTGTGTAATGGTTTCATGGTTGGTTTCTGGAGGAGCAGCAGTTCTACATGGCAACAAGGATTTGAGGAGTGCGAGTTGTCAGGCGTATTTGTGGGCAGGATTATGCTGCTGACTCAACATGCAGCTCAGTAAATAGGGATCTCTGGCAAATCTTATATTCCAGTGTAATCTTGTTATGCATGATGGAGGTATTAGAGAATATTAGAGAGAGATGTTCAGCCTGTTTCCAGGGACCAGAGGGAATATGGGTTTGGTTCAATCCAATAACTGTCCCCCATGAGTTAGATTCTTGGGGGGGTGCTGTAAGATGTTAGTTATTGTCTGTTTATCCACTGTCCTTGATCATAGTTGCCACAAAAGTATGGTTTATCCTTTGCCATATTTATTCTTCTTCCTACCTCGTCCGTCCCCCGGATGGACTACTGTATGATAGCAGCTTCTCTCCACCTCAGAAAAATGAAGATAAAAACCTTTACAGCCCTTAAACCCCATATTTTTTTCCTGTTGCAGATCTCTGGCAATCTTGTTCCTCAGTGGGAGTTACTTTTGTTGTCTGGGTACAAATTGAAAGAGGATAAATGTAGGTTAGATTTAGGAAAACGTTTTTTCCCATGAGGGTGGTGAGACACTGTCCCAGGTTGCCCAGGGAGTCTGTGGCTGCCCCAGCCCTGGCAGTGTTCAAAGCCAGGTTGGCTAAAGCCTTGAGCAACCTGCTCTGGTGGGAGGTGTCCCTGCCCAGGGCAGGAGGCTGGAACTAGATGATCTCTAAGGTCCCTTCCAACCCCTAAAATTCTATGATTCTATGCCATAGATCCCTTTTTAAGTTCAGAGGTATGATGAGTATAAGGCAAATTAAAGAGTTTTGACCCAGAAAACGTATAATTACTGAAGCCTCTTCACTTAGATTGGTTTAACTCTGTGCACTTGTGTGCCCAGAGTTATCCAACAGCAGCATTTTTGGCAGCTCAGGCTCTATTGTTTAGAAAAGAACATAAGGAAATGAAGAGAAACTGCTGGGATGTCACTCCAAGAGCAGCACATTTGGGTATTAATTTGGGTCTCAAAAAAACCCCCTTGGATCTGAGACTCAAACCTTTCCCATCTAGGTGGATAGAGAGACTCACCATGGTTTAACCAACCTGTTAATGGCTTAGACAGACAGCAATGATCATGTGCCTTCTGCTTGGGAAACCAGGAAAGTCACAGATAGGACTTCTAGGAGAATCAACAGTTTGGTGAAGGAAAGGTGGAATGCCTGGGAGGCTTGAAGATACCTCAGGTGGCCTGTGTGACTGTGTTCAGCCCAGGTGTGGACTGGGACACCTTTTTTGGGAGTCACCTCTGGGCATATAGTCTGAGGGTGTAGGACTGGGCAGGATCCAGGGTCCTACAGCCAGGAGTGTTCAGAGCTGACTTAAGTAGGATCCAAGGATGTACTTCCATTCTACCTCCTTTCATTTCTTTTACATGTTCTTACAGGCTCTGTCTGGTTTGGATTTGGTAATTAAAGTTATATATTTGCATTTAACTTAACCTGACTTTTATTAGGAGAGATCACAAGGTAACTGACTGTGCCATCAGGCATTTCATTCCTCCAGGGAATGGTCCTAAAAGCTGCATCACTTGACATGCTGGGGTGACCAGCCCCTTCAGTATGTGTCCTGCAGGATGTTCAGGGGGTAACAGAACATTTCCATTTTGGTTCATCTTAAGGCTTATAACGTGAGTCTGAGGAAAACATGAACTCTGGTTGCCTCAAAAGCTGTGGCACATCCAGAGCTGGTGGGAAGAATATCTGGACCAGAGGGATCCCAGAAGGGCACTTAATGGACATGTTCTGAGGACATTTTCCCCTTTCTTTAAAAGAAAAATATCTCGTTGTATTCATTAAAACAAAACCTGCCTCAGCTTCTGGAAGCAAGTAGGAGTCTTATGGGAATAAGTTATCCACATGTGTGGCTTTGCACATAAATAAACAGCTATTCCTTCTGAGTGCAGTGTGTGTGCCTGGAATAATATGGAAAGAAAGAAAGGGATTTTACCCTAACAGGCTTAGAAATGCAGAGTTCTGGAAAGATTTAAGAGGGGGTAGCTGTCAAACAAGCACTAACCCAAACAATACATGGGCTGAATGAAAATTCGGCATGCTGCTGTGTGTGTGTCTCCCACTTGGAATGTTCAGTGAGTAGCTGAGCTGAGGGAACTCTGGAAGGAGTCATTTGGGGGACAAGGAAGAAAGGAAATGTCAGCAAGATGTCTTGGAGACAATGAGTGGAAGAGTTTCAGAAAACTGTGCCTGTATAACTCATCAGGGAGGAGGTTTCAATGCAGCATTGTGGAGGAGGAAATTATAAAAAGAAAGGGGAGTAGGAAGCAGTAAAAGTCTCCATAGGCCTTTCAAAGTGAAGGTGAGGAGCTTGAGCTCCTGCTATGTTGCTTGCCAACTGCTTCAAGTCAGAATTTATTATAAATGTGTAACACAAGAAAGTTTGCTCTGTCTCATGTATGACTGCATTTAATGGGAAAATACACTTCACACTGGTGGAGATACCACCTGCCTGATACTGTTTGTGTTTCCCAGGTGTACAGGTGGGATGACCACTCCAGTCTAGTTCTCCAGAGCCTGAATGAGCAGAGGCACCGAGGCCTCTTCTGTGACATTGTCCTAGTGGTGGATGAGCAGAGAGTCCCTGCACACCGGAACCTCCTTGCTGTGTGCAGCGACTACTTCAACTCCATGTTCACCATCGGCATGCGGGAAGCTCACCAGAAAGAGGTTGAGCTCTTTGGGGCCTCCTATATTGGGCTCAAGGCTGTGGTGGATTTCCTGTATGGCAGTGAGCTGTCCTTAGATGGAGGCAACATTGACTATGTGCTGGAAACAGCTCACCTGCTGCAGATCTGGAAGGTGGTTGACTTCTGCTGTGAGTACCTGGAGAATGAAGTCAGTGAGGAGAACTACTTGTACCTGCAGGAACTGGCCTCCATTTACAACCTGAAGCGCCTTGACTCCTACATCGATTCCTTCATCCTGCAGAACTTTGGCACTCTGTCCTTCACCCCAGACTTCCTGCAGAACATTTCCTTGCAGAAGCTGTGCCAATACCTGGACAGCAGCAACGTGCAGCAGGAGTGTGAGCACGACTTGCTGCAGGCTGCCCTGCAGTGGCTCACGCAGTACCCGGAACGGGAGAACGAAGCTTACCAGGTCCTGGATAACATCCATTTTCCTTTGATCCCTAAAAGTGATCTCCTCCATCGAGTCAAGCCTGCTGTCTGCTCGCTCCTTCCCAAAGAAGCCAACTGTGAGGGGTTCATAGAAGAGGCAGTGAACTACCACAACAACGTGATGGCGCAGCCGGTGCTGCAGACCAAGCGCACAGCGCTGCGCACGTGCGAGGAGAGGCTGCTCTTCGTGGGGGGGGAGGTGTCGGAGCGCTGCCTGGAGCTCTGTGATGACACCTGCTTCCTGGACACCAGAAAGGGGCAGTGGGTGGCAGAAACCCCTCTGCCAGCCAGAAGGAGTCACCACTGTGTTGCAGTCTTGGGAGGCTTCATCTTCATAGCCGGGGGCAGCTTTTCACGGGACAATGGAGGGGATGCAGCGTCCAATCTCCTATATAGGTATGATCCCCGCTGTAACCAGTGGATAAAGGTGAGACTTAAGCTGTATTATTTCTCTGTTCAAAGTCCTTAATGTTTAGACTGTTTTCTCCTTTGTGGTGGAAGGACAGGGCTTGTTAGAATAGTCAACATGGCAGCACTTCCCAGTGAGAAGTCAAGTTATTTGAGTTGAAAAGCAGCTACTAGAGTTTTTTGTGGGTATGCTTAGGTTACATACACAGCCAAAGAGTTTGGGGCAGATTTTCAGCTTCAATTGGGATTTGGACATCTCCTCTGTGAAATTCTTGAATCAGCATTCACCTGCAACTCCTTAGATTACTTCTGGGAGTAATGTTAGAATGGACTCAGGGGTGATTTCTTAGTTCATATTTCCCAAGCAGCAGAAAGAAAAAATTAGTCTGATGTAAAAAGGAAATGTCTCTGACACTTGTCAAAGTGTCTATGTTAAATGTCCCTTAGAACAAGCTACTCCCTTGCAGTCCTTCTGCAAAACCCTGTGGCCCATGGAGGTTACTATATGAACCAAGTCATGGTTCTTATATGACCTGCTCATCCTGGGTGGTTCAGGTGTGGTTTTGAGTGATTCCAATATATGCTTCTTGCAGAGTTTGGGAAGGAGGCCCATGTAATACTAACATTTAGAGAGTAACCTGTCTCTTAGATCCTTCCTGTTGTCCCCTTTTCTTGGAGATCTGTGCTATGTAACAAGCCATTGCAGAAAACCAAAACCACTTTATGAATATAATGGTCAAGACCAGTATCTCTCCTTTCCAAATAAATGGGAAGAAGCAACTATCCCTTCCTCAGACATGAATATACCTTAAGTCACTCAATGACCAGACAGTGGAAGATGTCAGTGTGTTATTTCCCTTGCCAGGTTGCCTCCATGAGACAGCGCCGAGTGGATTTCTACCTGGGAGCGATCACCGACATGCTGGTGGCTGTTGGTGGCAGGAATGAGAACGGGGCACTGTCTTCAGTTGAGACCTACAGCCCTCAGAAGGACTCCTGGTCCTACATAGCAGGATTGCCCAGGTAACTGAGGTGTTTGGAGAGTTTCTCTGTGTTTGAAGAGCTCATGTGGCTTTAACTGATTGAATGGGATCCCAGTGAGGGAGGCAAGGGGATACATAACCAATGTGGTATCAGCCATACCAAACCATATCAGCATTTGGTACTTGAGCAGGCAGTGTGCCTTGTGTCTGTGTGACTGGTTTGAATTTTCATCCTGAGGTATATCTGAAGGATGGGAGGGAGAATTCCTGTCATTTCACTCTACTATCCTTAAAAACCTTTCTCTGAGCTGACTTGGAATTGAATCTTTTCAGGGGCACCGCTCAGGTCTTGATCAAAGGTGCTTATAATTTCTTTGGCCTTTGTCACCATGGTGTGAAGGTTTCCCTTGTAAGGTGTTTCTCTGTGTTCTGCTGCTCAGGTTGGCTGTCACAGATAAACCATGTTTTCCTGTGTTACAGATAGATAATCCTGACAAATATGAGCTTTCTTTTTCATAGTCTGAGTTACAACTTGGCTGTTGTGCTTTGAGAGGCTTCAGCCCTGCAGCTCTTCTGGTAGCAGCACACAGGATATTGCTGGTGTGTTGAATCAGTGTTTGAGCAGTGACTTTGTAAGAATGGTCTGACAACATTTCACTTGCAAACAGCCACTCAGATTTAGTGATATTTCCCATTCATGGGAATCACAGACATACTGGCTGTCGGATGCTATTTTTATGGTGTCTGGAAACTGCAGCTTGAGCAGCAGTGCTCTCTTAGTGGCATCACCAATCAGGCTCCTGCAATTTGGTTTAAGAGTTCATTTTTTTCCCTGATTCCCTCAGCTGCAGAGCTGCAGAGCCAGAGGCAGCCAGTGAAGGCACAGAAGCCTGTTGCCCAGTTCTATTTTGGGCAGGTGCTGCAATGCAAGGCTGATCCAGGCTAACAGCTGGGCTCGAGTGCTCCTCACAGGATGCTTCTTCTGCTGTATTTCTGCTCACACAGGCAGATCTAGCAGTTGAGGCTAAACACCACAGTCCTCCCTGGGAAGCTGTGGAGGAGAGTATCTTCAGGTCCTCAATCCTTCTGTTTATTGAGGTCACCTGTGAGATGTATCCTGTATGGATATTTTTATTCATAAATGATCCTGAGGAAGTTTGCACTGTTGGCTTAACCAAACCAGACTGTCCAAAAAGTTCATCTGCTTGTTCCTGCTGCTACCTGTGTGTTGGCTTTTGGGGATTCTGCAGCTACAGCATTTAGAAGTGACCTTTGACATGTGGGTGTTAATTTTTTATCAGATTGCCTGGCTGCTCTGCTTGAATGAGGCAAAAGTTCCCCCTTAGGGGACAGACACCTCTTACACTGGTTGTACAGCAACTGGGATAAGTTATTGCTGCATCCAAAATAAATGGTTCTGTATCCTCTCTTCCTGCCTGCTCTGTCCCTGTGTCAGCTCAGGTGTTTGTGCTGGTGTGTAGTGATCTAGATAGTTTCCCACTTTCTCCATGTAGCTGCTCTCTGGCATGTTGATATGTCTTTAGTTAGATCTTAATGGACTCTTGGCACCTTCGGATTTTGTCTCTTTTAATCCCTCTTTCTCCATTTGGAGAACTCTGGGCAGTGTATTGTTTGCAACAACCATTTTTCTGCACAGAAGGACGAAAGCAAAAACAACTTCATGCAGGCTGCAGAAGGCAAAAATAAGCACAGAGGTGGGCAACAGAAACTTCTGCTGGCAGAGACACATGACCACTGCTGGAGCTCAGGGACTAGTGGCTCTGGCTGGTGTGGGGCTGCTGGAAGAGGCCTGGGCAGCCCTTTCCTGAGGTTCTTCAGGTGGATTTGCTGACAGTGGAGAAGGATTTTTGTGGTCCATTCAAGACTAGAAGAAAGCATGGTACCTACAGTTCCTGCTGCATACTCCAGCACAGTTTTCCTCCCCACCACATGCTTTTGTTCCTCTGTATGTAAGTTCTGATAATGTAAGTTCCTGTTTCACCCAAATAACATCTCCCCCAGCCCTATTCTAGCAGCAAGATTTTTCTCTTCATGTAGAGGAAACCAGAAGCTCCAATCCTTTGCTTCTTGATTTGCCTGATGAGGCAAAATGTCCCAACAAAACTGCTTCGCTTTCTGTGTTTTTCTGTTTTCTTCCCTCTGAAGGGAACACTGCAGGTGTGTTTGTCCTCTTGGGTGCATGGCCACCAGAAATAGGCTCCATGGTGGTGTTTCTGACTGCTCCAAGCCAGCAACTGTCTGGAAGTGTGTTCCCTGGAGTGTCAGGCACGTGTTGAGGTCATTCTGGGGTGTAGGCTTGAGTAGTTCGACTTGAGCTGTGTGGGGTGGGACTCTTGGAGGATGTTTGTTAAAGCTTCTACTCTGAACATGCAGGAAATGGATTTTCTTTCTTCCCAAGGGTTAGAGCATGTCATGTGTGTGGAGATTTTCAGGGGAAAGGCAGTGGTTGTGTTCCTGAACACACATGTGCCTCCTGCCACTGCCAAATCCCGTGTCCATGTTGCCATACACATTCACACTCCTCTAAGGAAGAGCTTTGTGAGCTCCTTTTTTTTTTATCTCTTCTTCCCACCCTACATGGTCAAAACAACACGTTGTTTGCCCTAATCACTTTCTTGGAAGGAGCTGAGCTGTTTTGACTGAACTAGCACTGCCTTACTGGAGAAGAAAACAGCCTCTCGGGGCAGATGCTTAACGTGGAAAACCAGCCAAGCTGTCTAAGGGGTGGACATGGTCCAAGTGTGCTACAAATGAATTTATTTTGCCTGATGCTCATTAGGGTCCTTGGCTGTGGGATGCCTTTCTCTTTCTTCAGAGAAGTCCTATGGTTTTCCACCCTTTTCCCAGGCTCTCTGGGAGCAGTTGCTGCCATGGTTTATAGCCTGGCAGGGGAGCAGCGGTGGCTGATGAGCTTGGCAGAGCAGGAGTTAGTGCAATGTGTTCTCATCTTGAACAGAGCAGGAAAAGGTCTACAGCAGACAGCAATGAAGTTAATTGTGTGGCCCTAGGTTAAAGTTTGGCAGAACAACTGAAAGCACTTGTGTGAGGAGCTGTGTTGGAACGGGTTAGTGAATGATGGTATCTGCTCTGCCAGTTGGGTCATGAATGATCTCGCAGGGCTGCAACAGGTGGACACTGAGATTCAGAGCAACCACAGCTCACCTGGACTTGAGTTGGAGTAGGGGATTCCCAAAGACTTACTGAGTTAGGCCAAGTGTTCTTCTGGTGAAGAAAGTAAATGGCAGATTTTCTAGTGTTTGAATGGTGTTACTGGGTCAGCAACTGTAATTTTTCAGCACTGCGTCTGGGTAAGTCATTCAAAATTTGTGACTGGCTCCATCAGACTTTAAAATCAAATCTTCTTTCTCCTTAATGCCTCTGCTTTTTTCTGGGCAGTCTTGTTGATAATGCTGCCAAAACACTCCTCAGTGCTTTTTGTTGGAGGATGTCTGAACCCACTGTATTGATGTGCGTGTTCTGTTGCCCATTTAGAGATGTCCCTCTTGGAACCACAAGGCTTGCAGAAGGGATTTGTATTGACTGGTTTCAATTTGTGCATTATATTCCGTGCAGTTTCTCTGGAAGTGAAGCTATGTATGTGCTATTTTGGATGAGCTTTCAGAAGTGAGGCAAAGTGAAACACCTCTAGTGCATTTCAGCAGGTAATTGCTCTCTGTTGGGAAATAACAAACTGAGGGTTCATTTGGTGCTTCAGATCTGAATGCCTCTGTCAAAATCTTCCATTCCCTGGGCACAGCCATTGACTGAGGCAAAAGAAAAGCATCAGTGCTTTTTCTGCAGCTGCCTGTGCTGGGCTGCATGCCTGTGCTTGAGAAGCAATGTCTATTACTTGCTTACCTGGACAGAATTTCACGTTCCAGCTAGTGTAGGAAAACACTTAACCTGCGTCTCCCAAGGTCAATCAAGTCTTTCTTAACTTACAGTCAATTTTCCCCCAAATGCTGAATGCACTGTGGTTGCTATCAGCAGTGCAATAACTCTGGGCTTTATGTTGGATTCAGTGTCCTCACACTCTCCTCCTGACTCCTCAAAACTTCATGTTACCTGACCCTCCCTCCACAGCAGAGCCATTGCAGGGAGCTTGGAGGTTAGATGTGGGTTTAAAATATGTGCAGTTTGAAATGAACTGAACTCAAGTTGTCCATCCCATCCCCAGACTGATAGTCTACTTTTTAAGACCCATTCCTGTGTGTATAGAGAAACAAAGACTCCTAACAATGAAACCAGGAGCCACTGGAGCTGTATGCTCCCAGTTCTTGTGCAGAAGAGACCTCAAATAAGGCAGAGCAGCACCTCTGTGCACTACCCCTGTGGCATTTCTGGCAGGAGTGAAAGCTGAATACATATGGTATGTCATGTCCAACAGAAGCACTGAGCATGGGTTATGTGCTTGCATGGGTAGGGAGACTGAGCTGTGGAAATTCTGAGCTGCCTTCTTGGATAAAGTCCAGAACTATGCCTTAGTTCTCTCTCTTTTTCTTCCTGTCTTTTTCCTGTGTGGCTAAGAAGCAGAACAACTCTGAAGTCACCTCTGCAAGGTCTCCACAGGGCTCGTGCTGTAGTTGAACAGACTGTCCTGGTCACTCAGCATTGTTAGCCCAATGTGCCATGGACTTTTCTGTTTCTTGTAGCAGGAACCTATTAAAATATCTGATTCAGACACAGGGACCAGAGGTTTTGGTAGGCATCAAGAATAATAACACCTTCTAGCTTGTCTCAGAAGTGTTGTGCTTGCAGGATAAGTGTGGGCTTTCTTTTCTGGTCCATCTTTTCCCTTGGCACAACACTTAAGTGTGTGGAAGCAGTTATACCATTTGTGTAGCTGAGAGAAACTATTACCCTGTGAAATAAAAACAGCTCAAGGTTCTATCCACATGGAGTTTCCAGCGTGTCCAGGCATGGTTCAAAGGCTAAAGTAATGCTAACAGGGGTTTGTCTGCTTTAGAGGTTTGAGCTGTCTTGGGTGCCTGACTACAAAGGATGGTCACAGAGGCTCCTGAGTGCAGTGTGATGAATACATTGCTCTGGGGCCCTATGGGTATTAAATCATTTGGGCTCTTTGTGTGTGTCAGTTTGCTGTGGCTGTGCTGCAGATACATCTTTTGAGAGCTCCGCTTTTCCCCAGAAAAGACAAAAAGACATGCAGGAGGATATGTTCAAAGAAGCTGAGACTGTCCCTTGCCTTAGCAATCCAGTTCTGAGAGCTCAAAGGGGTTTGGTCAGGAATATCCTAGTGTGAAGAACAGCCTGAAGAATTAGGTTTGTAGTGGCTTTATTATAGGTGATCAAAGGGGTTTTCTCTCTGCCCTGTGGAAGCAGCATGTGTGATGTTGGTTCTCGTTTTGTCTCACTTCACACGTGGACTCTGAGCTGTGATTGACTGAGGTCTGTTGCTGTGTCTTGTGGTGACCAAAGAAGTTGTCACCTGCAGAGCAGCAGTGGTAGAGCAGACAGACAGTTCATGAAAGGACATGACATGTATTGTGACTGCAAATGAACCAGGCTGGGAATGCCGGGGGAAGGAATATGATCCACAATCCTGAAGCTGTGGAAAGGGAAGGCAGCAATAGTTCTCTTCTTGGTTTCTCTTGATTAATTGCTACTGGTAAGTCTGAGAAGTGTCATGATGATTTCCTCTTTCTGTCATACAAACCCTTGCTGAGCTGTGGATTTTTCTCCTCTCTGGCTCTATCAGACTGATCCAACCAAGCACTGGAGCAGGAAAATGCTCCAGGGAGTGAAGGCCATGCCATCTAGAGCAGATTGGTTTTTTCTGTTGTGTGATACACTATAGAGGATGCCTTAAAAACTGATGGTCATACTTTAGCGCTCTGTGGTGACCAGGCACGAAAAGGATGCTTAAAGAGTGGTTGCAGTGGCTCTGCAGTGCAGGGTGAAGTGGTATAAGTGGGAGCAGTTACTGGGTGACTAGCAGGATTTGGGATTCTTCTGTCTTCAGTTACAGCTTATTTGCTTCTTTAGCAACTGTCCCAGAATGCTTGTGTGTCTTGATAGAACCTGTACATACTAAGCTGGATTGTCTCTGTTCCTGCCCCAGGTTTACCTATGGCCATGCTGGGACAGTGTACAAGGAATTCGTGTACATCTCAGGAGGCCACGACTACCAGATTGGACCCTATCGAAAGAACCTGCTGTGCTACGACTACCGCACGGATGTCTGGGAGGAGAAGAGGCCCATGATCACTGCCAGAGGGTGGCACAGCATGTGTACCTTGCAGGACAACATCTACTCCATCGGTGGCAGCGATGACAACATCGAAACCATGGCTCGGTTCGACATCCTGAGCGTGGAGTCCTACAGCCCTCAGTGCAACCAGTGGACCAGAGTTGCTCCTCTGTTGCAAGCCAACAGCGAGTCAGGGGTGGCAGTGTGGGAAGGCAGGATTTATATCCTTGGAGGTTACAGCTGGGAGGAAGCTGTCTTCTCCAAAACAGTCCAGGTTTATGATAAGGAGAAGAATAAGTGGTACAAAGGAACGGACTTGCCCAAAGCGATCGCTGGAGTGTCTGCGTGTGTCTGTGCACTGAAACCCAAAACAGAGGACAAAAAGAAAAAGACAAAAACAAAAAAACATCAGGATCGAGGAAGATGACTATTTCTAGCTAACCACCCCTGGATGGTGGACTCCAAAAGGACCTTGTATTTAGTCATTTCTATCTAACCTGGATTCTTTTTCTTTTTAAATGGGGGTGACATCTTCTGGAGCCTCAGAAAATGTACAGTTGAGTGTGGGTTTTGGATTAAACTCATGTTTAAGGTTAAAATCAACAAAAGAAACCAAAAACTTCCCCTCCTGCTCTACAAAGAGTGATGTGACCAGAGAGGTTCTGCTGCTCTTCTGAATGTTAAGGCTTAGTCTTTCCCTGTGTGGTTCATGGCATTTCCACATCATATTCTAGCCACGTTTGGAGAGAGTTTTTAAAAACAACTTTTATACTTTTTTATACCACATTTTGCTAACTCAGTCTCTCCTTTGCCATATGTTCTGTTCCTGACTGTAGAAGCTTCTGCTGTGTGACTGTGACCCTGTTGTTGGCGTCAAGATCTCGTTGTGTGATGCTCTTTGGTCCCTGTGGCTGGCAGGACGGTGCAGCTGTTGGAGCAGCACTGGCATTCCCAGCATTGTCAGGAGTCAGCTGGAACGGTGACTGTTGTCACACTTCCAGCTCCCCCATAGCCCAGCTTGCCAGACATGCTCATAAACACACTTTATTTTCAGTGGCTGGTGATCTGCTGAGTGATTTCAAGGGCTTTGGTTGAAGGTTCAACTAGTGATCATTCCTGTGATTCTTTCTCAGTCCTTCTCTCCCATCTCCCTTTCCATCTATTTCAGATTTGCCTTTTTTTCCATCTGGTGATGTCCTGCTACTCTCCTTTTTTTATTTCTTCCCCCCTCCACCTATTTACCTCAATAATTGGAAAACACTAAGTAAACATTTTTGCACTTATTTTCATTTGAAGCTCTAGTAACTCTAAGGACTCTTAGATCTATTCCAACACTTATGTGTGTTGAAAGAGGGAACTGAATACATTTCTGGAGTGCAAGGAAGTTACAGGTTTTTTCTTCAGTGCTAAGAAAACTAGTTGAAATTAATTTTCTGAAACTCCTTGAGGCTTTTTTTGGTGTTTTATTAAAAAAAAAAAAAGCCTGAGGAGTCTTGCATTAATGGATTTATTTTAAAGCCTTTGTACACTGCATGAGGTAATGATTATTCTTTTTTTAGCCTAAAAAGAAAAACACAACAAAACCAAATCAAACATTTTGGTTATGACAAACTCATGGTTTGGGTCTTTTTAGTATCTGAAATCCTTGCTATGTTGACTGACAACTACTTAACTTTTGGGGACATTTTCATGTGTAAGTATAGAACAAAGACTTGCTTTGTTTCTGTTACTGGGCTGCTTGTTACTATATCCCCTTTTAATGTGTTTATGTATTACATTAATGTCTGGGAACAATAAATCCAGTTTAGAACATTCCATTTATCACAGTCTGACCTGTGTATTGATTTAAACAAGGTTTCCCATTTTGGATAAATTGGAAAGAAATAGTCCTGTAATCATTCTGAAGTTCCATTGATAATAGTGGAAACATTTTGGTAGGCAGAAGCTAAATTTAACAATAGGAAGTAGAAATAGAACTCCTTGGCTAATTTGTCTCTTTTTCTTCGTGCTCCAGAGAGTTAGAGCAAGAGGGAATGGCTTCCCATTGGCAGAGTTAGATGAGAGTGTTCCAGGCCAGGTTGGATGGGGCTTGGAGCAATCTGGGCTGGTGGAAAGTGTCCCCATCCACGGCAGAGGATGGAACAGGATGAGGTTTAGGGTCTCTTCCAACCCAAACCATTCCATGATTCTATGAAACTACTTTTCATGTTTTTTGCAGCTCTGACGAAAGACCTGATCCAGTTTATAGAGTGGTTTCAAAGACAGGATTTAATGGGGAGAAGATAACACAGTTATGACTTCCTAACACTGAACTTAATCACATTGGCAAAAGATAAGCTCAGTCCTCATCAAAGCAAGCTTTGTTTTCCCTGGTCTGTGTATCATCGCTTCAAAACCAGAGGCTGTGAGGGAGTGTGGCACATCTCCTGTGTTATTAGAGGTCACTGGGGTATCACAACTGTTGTTTCCATAAGCATTTTGCCATTATTAAAGGAACGAATTATTCCCATTTGCACCTACCATGGCAGTGAGAGCTGCTAAAGGCCCAGCCTGGCACAGTGCCCCTTGATTCTGGATGTTGTGTGCCCAGACATGGCTTATCATCCCTCGGGAAGTGTTAGTAGATAGCACACAGTGGAGATAACCGGAGCTGAATGGCTTTGGGAAACTGCTGTGCTGGAATTCTGCACCAATGAAAGGGACAATGTGTGACATGAGGGGATTTCTGCTTCGGTTTTTGAGGCCTGAACATCTCTCTGGGTGAGTACTCAGGATTGGAAGAGGAAAGGTGTATCCTGGTCTGTGCTCCTAGGGAGCCAACCTGGCTCTGTTCCTGTACACCCCACTGCATCCCTAAGCTTTTTTTCTCTTGCCAGGAAGCACAGCTCTTTCTTCCTGCCCTGGGGAAAAATAACTTGCTCTACTTCATTTCTCAAAGGCTCCTATTGCCAAATTTTGGGGAAAGCTCATTTCACCTGACACAAAACAGCCACCAAAAGCCTCAGGTTTTCTCTTCCCACAATTCCATGGCTGTATCTTGGCATGGGCATGTCAAGGAGCTGCTGCCTGTGATTCTGATGTTAGATAACATGAATCCCTGGAGATGCCCCGAGGAGAAATGACACTGTGGTGTGAGACGCAGTTGTTTTGAAGGCTTGAGAAAGAAGCTGGAAATATTTTTGTTCTCAAGCTGAAATCTTAAATCGAGGAAAATATGCCTCTGTGTGTCTGTCTCCATCAGAGATCACACTGCTTTCTTCCAAAGATCAGTGATTTTCCATGTGCTGTTTGGGGTTCTGCATTCTTACATGACAGCAAAAAGGAGTTGTGTGTCTAGGGAATGTGAAGAAGTAATTTAACCTTTAGTACTCTGTCTGAGAATGATTTAACTTGCAGAAAACAAGCTCAGATTCTGTCATTCTTCCCTTGCTGATACACCTCAGTGAAGCTCTGACCAGTAAGGAATTTCCATGGAAATAAAACCAAACTGGTGTGACAAGCTTTATGTATTATTCTATTTCAGCTTCTTGTCCTATGTTAGTTCTTATGAATGTAATAATGACTGAGGTGCTAATTATTCCTTCATGAACTTAAGGCTTTGAGTTGTCTTAGAGACCAGGTCAGGGCAAATGGATAGGGTCTGTCACTGTGCTGTGGAACTGAGAGCACAGTTGAGCTCCAGCTACTTCCAGTTTCCTTCTCATTCCTGGTAACTCCACTACTGAGGGACACACAGTCTATTGATACCACATGTGTTTTAGCATCATATATGTTCCTTCTGGAACTCAGAGCAGCTCTGGGAGAAAAAGGTACCTTTGTTGTTACTCTGATGGGTTTGGTGACAAATTATGAGGGGAAGGTGACAAGGAGACTTGCTGTTTCATTTGAGGCTCCAGCACTGAAAGAGACAATTGCATGAGGAGAAAGAAGACTCATTTTCAAGATAAGGATTAATAAGTCATAGTTAATTAGTCAAAATTGATAACTGAAACACAGAACACACCAAGTCAAGCACTACATGATCTACTAAAAGCTTGTCCAGACTTCAAATCTGTTTCAGGTTAACTTGAACTAGACCATGCTGAAGTTCTTTACATCAACTAATTAAATGTATTTGTTAGAAAATTCCAGCAAATTCAGGAATATGGAGTTAGAAGTCAGGTTTGCATTAACCCATTTTTGGAATGAAACACCTGCTGGTGGTGTCCTGTGCTGTCTGGCTCATAGCTTCCACCTGCAGAACCATTCCTGCCCTGCTGCTCTCAGCTCCCCACTGCCCACTCTGGAGTGGGCTGCTGGCCTGGGACATTTAGGGCTCAGGAAGTGCAAAAACTCTTATGCAAGCTGGTTTCAGTGCTCTGGCTTTGGGAAAACCTCAGGAGTGACTGCCCAGCACAAACAGCTGTGCCAAAACGAGCTCTGACAAGAAGGACCTAAGCAAGTTCTGCAGAGAAGCACTTTGTTGGGGTTGTAGAGATGTTTTGCACAGGAGGAACCCTGTGGTAGCTATGCCATGATTTACAGGTGCAGGTAGTGATAGGACAAGGAGGAAAGGCTTCAAACTGACAGAGAGGTTAGATGGGATATTGGGAAGGAATTGTTCCTTGTGAGTGTACTGAGGCACAGGTTGCCCAGAGAAGCTGTGGCTGCTCCATCCCTGGGAGTGTTCCAGGCCAGGTTGGATGGGGCTTGGAGCAACCTGGGCTAGTGGAAGGTGTCCCTGCCCATGGGGGGGGGGGAATGGGATGACCTTTAATGTCCCTTCCAACTCAAACCATTCTGGGATTCCATGATGATTCTGTGATCTCTGACCCTGGCTGGTTCTCTACTGAAAACTTAAAATACCATGTTTTTAATATGAGCCAACTGAGCCTCCCTGCAGTGCAGCCAGGGGGAGGTGACTGCTGCTTGCAAATACTTTATGAAGGCAAAGTCCTTAGCATACTCAGAAATTACTGGGATAAAAGTTCTGCATCTCTGAAGAAAAAGTCTCCAGAGCTCCTAAAGCTCTTGGCACTAAGAGGAAGCTCTACAAAGGCAGCAGTAAACCTCCTGCAGCCATCAGCCAGCTCCTGCAACACTACAGGAAGGTATTCCCTGAGACAGTGGTTGTGAGGGTGCTCCTCAAAAGTCATCCTCAAAGTCATGTGTACAAATCCCTCACCTCCTGGGCACTGTCATGAGCAGAGGTCCCATGACCCAGTGCAATCACGAGGAGCATGGTGGGGAAGGGTGAGCCATTCTCAAGCACTTTGCATTTAGAGTGGGATAACAACAATTATGGTGTCACCTGGGAGGCAGCTCCCTTGGGAGTGGTTTATCCAGCTCCCTCGCTGCTGCCAGGCAATCCTTTATTTCCCCAGCCATGGACCTCATTTGTTGTTGGTCAATTCACACAATCAAGTCGGTTCCATGTTGATAGGAGTATTTCTCCATGTTCCTGAAGCACGTGGATATACAGAAAGAAAAATTCAGGACTGTTTTTAAATTTGGAAAAGAAACATGTTTGAGAGTGCTAATTCACAGCCACTGGCACAACGGATGGGAGAAAATAAACCTGATTTGTGCAACAAGAGCAGTAATGAAGTAACAGACCACT